TAAGCGTATCTTTAAGTTACCTTCCATGCAAAGATGAATACCTGATGCACAATTATTTATCTTTTAAACATGCATCTGATCAATATTGTTGCAGATACTGTCGTTTTTCTGAGTTTATAAGTGATTAATGCTGATAATTCCTTTATTTTTTCCTGCAGTGCAAATGCGCCATTCACTTATAGAAACCATAATTTTAAATAATCAGTTTTCAAAATTTTAAACATTAAAATCTAATTCATACTCGATTAGACAAAGCTTTTGAGGTACCGATGTGATACGGACACTGCCATCTTTGAATGAAGGTTCAATTTAAATTACGCTTACAGTCCCTTTAAGGAACGATTTATTGATTAGTTTAGGCTTAGATATTCAGTCAGAAAATAAAAAGCAAAATTTCTAAAACGTGATGTGAAACTTTATAGAGCATCTTGAAAACCAACAAACACATGAAATGACTAAAAACTAAAAAACCTAAAACAAATTAACTTGTCAAGCTGGAAGGAATCGAAAAGCTGACATTTTTTAAAATTTTATTTAGTTTTACAATCATCTAAAAAACATTTGGAATTTGTAAAGCATAAATTTTATAAATATAAATTCAAAATCTGATTAGCCAATTCTTATCTGAAAAAAACACGTATAATTTATAATTATAAAATAAATGTTTTATTTTCTGACATGTTTATAAATCACATTTGTTTGGAATTAACATTAAAGCATTGTTGAATTAAAGCATTATAATATCAGTATACTACGATGGCTCCACAAAATAAAACAGAAGACAAAACGATCTTTAGATAAAATCTCTTAACGTGCAAAACAACCTTGGTAATGAAAACTGACAACAGATTTTAAATTAGAATTTTACAGCAACAAAATAAATAAATATTAGTTGGATTTCTGGTCATTTTATCTTTTCCATTTTATTCTGCAGACCACTGAAAAAATACTAGACAATTAGTAACAGTTTGGTTTTAATTTCATACATTCATTAATATTTGGATTAAATGAAATATGTTGTGCGAAACTAAGGGTCAAAATAGAGATTCATTTATTAATCAAGAAAATAAACAAAAATTTATTTAAAAACATTTTAACTTATCAATTTAAATACTTCTGAACAACTTCAGTTTTTTTATTAAAAAGTATGATTTTGAATAGTAATTCTTTATGGTGGTTTTTATTGTATTTAATTAACAATTGTGTATCAATAAATTTAAACTTTCCTTTGTTTTTGATAAAATTAGAACGTTGGTGAATTTTTTCCAAGGATTCCAACAAGCTAATACTTGATTCCTAGATTCTAATCCTTTCTCTGAATCTGGACGGGCTTCCAATTGGAATCCGCGAGAAAAAAACCTGTCTATTACTTGACGAGATACGTCTCCGAGTCGGACTATTCCCCCCAGGTTGATTTGGCCCTTCAGCGACTTGGCGTTGGACGGGTTGAGGTTTCTGAGCAGGTTCTCCAGTGCAGGTTCCGGAGAATTGGCAAGCTTTAAAAGATACCTGGAAATCATCGTCTGTACTAGGTCTGGAGTTGGAGCATTCCTCAGTTGAGCAACCTCTCTGCTGAGCAAATTGAGTTCCTGGATCAACAATTAGATTAGTGGATTGAAGATTTAATAAAAAGCATTAAGCAGTTTAAAGGCGTTGACAGAGCTGAACCAATTCTCTTTAACTTGAACCGGCGCTCAAGAAAAGTAGTTAAACTTTGTCTTTGTCTAAGTATTTAAACTAAGTATGTTTAGGTTTACTACTTGTTTAATGCACTTTAATCCGTCAGTATCTACAGTATGATCAAGTTTTTCTACAATAATGTTTGACTTCAGAAATGGAAAAAAATCAATAAAAACATGAACGTTATTACATTTTATTCAGTACGTATACAATGGAACATTTGCAAAAAAACTAAACATTAACATTATGCATCGAAGTGACCACCAACAACTTCCAGCTTGAGATATTGAAAGATGATTATCTTGGGCTAAAGGAACATTTTTTATCATTGAAACAGCACAGACATATCAGACAGAACTAAACTTGGCTAAACAAACCAATGAAACAGACATAAAGTAAACAGAAACAAATCAATGGAACAGACCTAAATTAGACAGAACCAAATCAATGGAACAGACATAAAGTAAACAGAACCAAATCAATGGAACAGACATAAAGTAAACAGAGCTAAACCAATGGAAAAGGCATAAAGTAAACATAGCTAATCCAATGGAACAGACATAAAATAAACAAAGCTAAACCAATGAAACAGACATAAAGTAAACAGAGCTAAACAAATGAAACAGACATAAAATAAACAGAGCTAAACCAATGAAACAGACAGAAAGTAAATAGAGCTAAACCAATGGAACAGACATAAAATAAACAGAACTAAATCAATGGAATAGACAGAGAGTAAACAGAACTAAATCAATGGAACAGACAGAAAGTAAACAGAACTAAATCAATGGAACAGACCGAAAGCAAACAGAACTAAATCAATGGAACAGTCATAAAATAAACAGAGCTAAACCAATGAAACAGACATAAAATAAACAGAACTAAACCAATGGAACAGACATAAAGTAAACAGAGCTAAACCAATGGAAAAGGCATAAGGTAAACAGAGCTAATCCAATGGAACAGACAGAAAGTAAACAGAGCTGAACCAATGAAACAGACAGAAAGTAAACAGAGCTAAACAAATGAAACAGACATAAAATAAACAGAGCTAAACAAATGAAACAGACATAAAATAGACAGAACTAAATCAATGAAACAGACAGAAAGTAAACAGAACTAAACCAATGAAACAAACATGAAGTAAACAGAACTAAACCAATGAAACAGACATGAAGTAAACAGAACTACAAGACAGAACTAACACGAATAAAAAAACACTAATTTATAAAAATTACCCAACAAACCGTATTTCGTTATTTAAACGTAACTAATTTGTGAGAATACATAATACAATCATTTAAAATTGGCTTTTATAGAATGAACTGTTGGTATGGACTAAACAAACTCTGTGTCACTGTCATTACATTTTGAGACAGTACAGTGTCGAGTTTAAAGTGTCGCCAGGCCTTTCCCTTATGTTTTACCTCACCAACTTTTTTGGAGCCCTAGGCATATACATTTTAAAACTGCAAAGCGTTTGTTTTTAGTTTTAAAATGAGAAATTGATAAAATACTGCTCGTTTTTTGCGTTAGAGCGTGCACCTGATAGAGTTCTTGTTTGCGTCCCTGATCCACAAGTCCGTGAGCAAGCTGACCAGCTGCTCCATTCTTAGTTAATTAATAGATTTAAAATGGAATTTAAAGACGGGGGAAATTAATTTGTTTTTTTGATAAAATTAATGCAATTTTATTCCAGGTTGGGTTATATTTAGTTTGAAACATTAGTCACCTTTCTGAATAATGATGCAATAAGAAACAAAAGAGGGGGGCAGGTCAGTGTTTTATGAAGGAACATTAGATGTCGTCTTTTCAAGATTTAGGGGTGTTTCGTTCACAATAACCCTGTGGTAGCATCCAAAAGGAGTTACGCGAATACGGCGTTGAATTACAAGACAGAGAGATAGCATACGAGTAACTTCTTAATCTTTGACATCTGCCTTAGGGTGATTGTGAACGAAAAACCCCTAAATCTTGAAAAAAACGAGATCTAGTGTCTTGTTATTGTTAATTAATTTATGGTTATAATGTATTTTTTAACATTGCGATTTATTTTGTTAATCCTTTCTTGATTTGACTTGTTGCCTTTAAGCTTTAATATGTTTTGGCAGTGTGGCCATTAGATAGAGTTTATTGTTCAATTAAATCGGAGACACACGACAAGAAATGGCTAGTGCAGGGCAAATTACAAATCCTCCCCCCCCNGTGCTTATAAGAAATAATAATAAATAATCTAGGAATTAATTAATTAAATTATAATTGTCTTAATTAAACACGCTTTGAGTCAGAAAAACCTTTTACATATTTTATTTAGTAAATCGGGCTCATGCTATCTTTTACATATTTTATTTAGTAAATCGGGCTCATGCTATCTTTTACATATAAATCGGGCTCATGCTATCTTTTACATATTATATTTAGTAAATCGGGCTCATGCTATCTTTTACATAATTTAATTAGTAAATCGGGCTCATGCTATCTGTGCATTTTGTGTATCTTGCAATTTTGCTTTAAATTCCTTTAATATGAAAACGGATTTATATTTCTAGCCCAGCCCTATTAGATAAATAGTACCCTGTGAAAAGCCAGGGGTACCCTGTGAAAATATTGGGGTCTTTGATGAAAAACTTCGGGTCTCCAATTAAAATATCGAAATCTCCAATGAAAAAGCTTGCGGTCATCTAGGCAATTCTTGTGGGTCCCCAAGAGAAACTTTTGGGGTCTCCAATGAGAATTAGGGGGTCTTCGATGAGATCAACGTCTCCAATGAAAGGGGTCTCCGATCACTGTATTCTTCCCAGGCTACAGAAAGTCAAATTTATGCAATATTACTGTAATGACTTTGTGATCTCGTAGCTCTTCTAGTTTTCATTTTATGAAGAAGCAGGAGAAAGTAAATTTGTTTGGTTTCTTCAATAAGAGGAGTTATGATTGAAAACAAATAAGATTTAAATCTTACACACAATTTACATTAGTTTCACGTGGTCCTGGCAATTACAAAATGTGGTCTGACTTTTCTATGCTTTCAAGAATTTTTTTAAACTCAAATTGCTTAATTAACCCAAAATTATTTGATAAATTATCACATTATATGAGTAGTCATGCAACTTTTTTGATATAACTTTGTAATTATATAGCTATTACAGAAAACAAATAAACATAAGAAAACTTATTTTAGATTAGTTTTATCGAATGTTTATTTTTCCATTAATCTTCTTTGAGGTAAAACAAAATTTTAGAATTGACTAAAGTTTTGTAAATTTTAGATTATGAAACAAATTCCAAAAAAGTTTATTTTCAAATTAAAGTTTTATCAAATAAGATGTTTTCATGAAATTTTTGAAGATATGAAAATAAAAAAAAATAAAATTAAACCTTGATACGCAGTCCTGAGAATTTCTAGGACAGACTCCGCTTTTACTTCTAGAAATGATAAATGATTGATACAATTCTTTAATATTTTCATTAAACTGACAGCGTGAGATTAAAACAATAAATAATATATCATTTGCTCTCAATCAAATTAGAATTAAAGGGAGTGACTGGCTAGACACTGGGCAGTTAAAATGAAATTGCAGCATTGTTGAGAAAATTTTTTAGGATTCATTTGAGACCTATAAGACGTTTATGTGGCGTTTATTTGTTCAGCAAGAGCGCAAATTCTATCATTCAAATCCTCCTGGATTGTCCATTCTGGAAGCTTGATTTTCATAATTGATTTTTTTATTATTTGACAAAGAAGACGAAAAATGTAACAAATATCCTAAAAATTGTCTCTATACTATGCTACACTCTCAGCTCAACTACCATGTATAACCGGTTACTCCCTTTAATAGAAATTTAAATTCCCAAGGGATTCAATGATAAACCTGACATTTCTTTGAAAAGCGCAGGTTTTAACGAAGACTTTTTTATACTCGCTGAAGTGCCTGGCGTTGCCCGTAGAATTTAAAAAATTAAATTTTGCAGAAAAATTTTCTAGTTTTTTAGCATATGTTACACCCAGGGTTCTCATGAGTTCCCTAAAAAAAATGTCAGCCAATTTTGCCCAGCTGTCTGGCTAGCCATAGCTAACATAAAAATGAGAAAAGAAATATCCAGCACATGATTTGAGTTTTATTGTATCAACATTATGTTTCATGCTATGCATTCTTCAGGATACTAATTTGGTGATTTAAGATCCTGATAATAGATATACTGGAGTATACCCACAGAACAGAGAATATGAATAGAAAGGAATTTAAACAATCCCTGAGGTATGAATTTTGTCAGTCCCTTTCAGCTTGAAAGGGAGTTCAAAGTGTACAATATATGTAAATGTTCACAAATTATACACAGTACATCACACTAATACAGTATGATCCCTGGACATATCCATTCCAATCCTTTGTTTTATAAAGTTGTTAAATAACTTTAAACGTGGGTATTCGCTATAGGTGAATTGAAGTGGATTTGCTATAGGTGAATTGAAGTGGATTTACTATAGGTGAATTGAAGTGTAGTCGCTATAAGTGAATTGAAGTGGATTTGCAGTCGCTATAAGTGAATTGAAGTGGATTTGCTATAGGTGAATTGAAGTGGATTTACTATAGGTGAATGGAAGTCGATTCGCTATAGGTGAATTGAAGTGGATTTGCTATAGGTGAATTGAAGTGGATTTACTATAGGTGAATTGAAGTGGATTCGCTATAGGTGAATTGAAGTGTATTTGCTATAGGGGAATTGAAGTGTATTCGCTATAGGTGAATTGAAGTGTATTTGCTATAGGTGAATTGAAGTGGATTCGCTATAGGTGAATTGAAGCGTAGTCGCTATAGGTGAATTGAAGTGGATTTGCTATAGGTGAATTGAAATCATTATTTTATTAAACATCAAAATGTAAAAATCGTCGTTTGTAAAGTAAAGAGAAGTAAATTTCTGAAATTTTGATAATTCATAAACCTTCCCTGGGGTCATGTGAGCTCAAACAAAAAATTTGGGCCCGATCGATTCAGCCATTTTGACGTTTATTGGATACAAACAAAGAGACAGACACAGATAAGCAAAGTAAACCTAAAGATTGGTCTAAAGGAGTGAAATATTGTTTAGTATTGGAGCACTAATGGGGAGATAAATGCATTTGCTTCTATTCTGGAAAAATCAGGTTTCACTGTTAACTTGTTAAAAAGATGTCAATTAAACCTAATGATGTTTTTAAAAAAGAATTTATGTGAATCCAATTTAAGTTGTTATTTCTAATTTCAAAAAATATGTAATAATATTTTAACGAATATCTCGAAGTAGTTAGTTTTCAATCAAAAATAATCATTTTTTTAATGTTTAAAAAAAATGTTTCTCGAAATCTGTCAAAGTTGTTTTCAAACAAGGGCAAGGCTGCAATGGTTAGGGTTTTTTTTAAAACTCTTTTTTTTAAACAATCGGCCACAAATAAAACTTTAGCTTTTTATTCTTTAAATAATTGAGTTACTTGACTTGAGTTACTATGTCAGCTTCGTTTAAACTTTTGTTGCACGGCAATACTTTTTACAGTTTCCAGCCTATCCTAGGCATATTTGACCTACCCCATTAGCTTCGTCTAGTGTAGGGTATGAGACTTTGTATGCTGGAAAGTATATGAACCAGTATGGTACTTCTCCAGAAGCTGGAGGGATTCACCAGGTAAAAGTAGTTGATCATTTCGTATCCAGGGCTGAATGGACATTTGTTTTTAACTGTTGGCTAATGGTTAGTTTGAATATTAAAAAAAAGACCAACTTTTAAGGTATCTGTTCATTCTTAGAACTGAAATTTAATGATTCATAGATATTTTAGAAATTGTTACCGTTAACGATTATTTCATGTATTAATGGTAGGGTTTGCAGCAAACGAAACAAATGCGAAAATTTTAGTTCGTATTTTGCAAACTTTTCCGTGAAATTTCGCATTTTTTTCGCTGAAATGAATGAAGCAAAAAATGCAGAAACGAAGCGAGATTTCGCGGAAAAACATTTTGCAAAGAATATTTTCGCGAAAATTTTGCATTTCGTGAAAATATTTTCGTGAAAACCAAGGGTGTTGAAGCTGTATTTTTGCATTTTTTCGCAAAATTTTTGCATTTTTATTTCGCGAAAATTTCTCATTTTATCGCAAAACAGATTGAAGCTAAATTTCGCGAAAAAACGAAATATTTTGCATTTTTCGCGAGCGAACGAAATGCGAAAAAATGCAAAATAGTTCATCTTTTTTGCTTCAGACTCTTTTNCCCCCCCCCCCCCCCTCCAACCGTTCCAACCGTTCCAACTGATAAAAAAGAAAAATTTCAGTTAGCCGTTTGTTTTCAGCAGTTTTAATAGGGCAAAGCGTCAAAAAAATTGTTAACAGTTTATGAAATCGTTAACGGTGCTGCTGTTAATGGTCTTTTGTAGTATTAACGGCGTTAACATTCGATCCGTTAACAAAACTTTGCCCAGTCCTTCCTTGAACCAGTAAAGAAAAAAATTTCGGATTTGAAGAGTTAATAACAATTTACCTTCCTCATCCTCAATTTTAATATTTTGGTATCATGAGTATTTCAAAAATAAAATATTTTTAAGAAAACTTTTTTTTATAAAATGATGTTCCAGGGCCCAAAAGGTTATATAGCACAAATATGTGAAGTAAACCTGCAGTATGGAAACAGTACAACAAAATGGCCGTTTTAACTCTGGATCAAGTATTATTCTCTTAGTTTTCAACAAAAACAACAGGGTTTGGCTAGCTTGGATTCAGCAAGTTTCAGTTCTTGAATGTTTTCATTAACTTAGGTACGGGAATCATTTCGGATGATGATCTTGTAGATGTACATGAAGTACTTGAGGCAGGATTTTCCCATGTCTAACCTCTTTTTATCACTGAGATGTAGCATGTTGCAGGCTTTATCTTCTCTGTAATGCGTTTTCCTGACTCCTACCTTGGAGGCCAGCCTTTCTCTTGGACCTACCTTTACTCCTTTCTTGTTCTTAACACCCTTCAGGCCCCAAGTATAAAACCTAGGAGCCCACACAGTAGGCATACTGGAAATAGTCTCCTCTCGATTGAAAATCTTGATCATTTCATTCAATAGACATAGGTCGTCGTATTTATTTGAACGAAGTTTTCTATTTTCTTTAGGAAGAACTGCGATCTTAGGAGGTAGGGGAAGGCATGCAGCAGCAAAGCTTCCAGGAGAACAATGCTTTAATTTCTTCATCCCATAAACTGATGCTCTGAATCTTCTCATTTCTTCAATTATATCTCCAGGTTCAGTATCACGCAGTATGTCGTTTAGACCAGCAACAAAGAGGACGTCTACGATGATATCCTGGTTAGAGTATTCACAGCAGAAAGCATGATGGAGTGATTTCACAGTACCTCCAGGGATTCCAACACATTCCATGTGGATATCATCTCCAATATATTCGTTCTCATATCTTTTTCCCTGCCATCCGTTTAATATCGAGGAAGTCATCAACAGTGGATATCTCAAGCCAGTTTTGCAGCTGTGTGGAGTAGCTTTGCATGTAATGCAGGGATAATTTCCCCAGGTATCATTGGGAGCAGTAATCCTGTACTGCAGGGAACTGTTGTTGATATGATATATTACTCGAGGTTTAGGTTCAGCAACTGAAGTTGCTTCAGAACAGATTGAACAGTATCTTGGATATAGATACTGATGATGAGATATTAGATTGAGATACTGATAAAAGAGATATTTGATTAGAGATCCTGATGATAGAGATGTATATATACTGATAATAGAGATAAATTAGACTAGAGATCCTGATGATAGATACTGATAATAGAGATAAGTTAGATTAGAGATCCTGATGATAGATATATATACTGATAATAGAGATAAGTTAGATTATAGATCTTGATGATAGAGACACTGAGCATAAAGATAAATTTGCTTAGATATCCTGAAGATAGAAATATAGATTCGGATAATAGAGATAAATTAGATTAGAGATCCTGATGATATAAATATAGATACTGAGAATAGAGATAAATGATTAGTGATCCTGATGATAGATACTGATAATAGAGATAAGTTAGATTAGAGATCCTGATGATAGAGATATAGACAATGAGAATAGAGATAAATTTGATTAGCGATCCTGATGATAGAAATATAGATATTGATAATAGAGATAAATTAGATTAGAGATCCTGATGATAGAGATAAAGATACTGAGAATAGAGATAAATTAGATTAGAGATCATGATGATAGAGATATAGATACTGAGAATAGAGATAAATTAGATTAGAGATCCTGATGATAGAGATATAGACAATGAGAATAGAGATAAATTAGATTAGAGATCCTGATGATAGAGATATAGATACTGAGAATAGAGATAAATTAGATTAGAGATCCTGATGATAGAGATATAGATAATGAGAATAGAGATAAATTAGATTAGAGATCCTGATGATAGAGAAATATATACTGATAATAGAGATAAATTANACCGGGGGTGTCCGACGAAAAGCCAGGGGTACCCTGTGAAAATATTGGGGTCTTTGATGAAAAACTTCGGGTCTCCAATTAAAATATCGAAATCTCCAATGAAAAAGCTTGCGGTCATCTAGGCAATTCTTGTGGGTCCCCAAGAGAAACTTTTGGGGTCTCCAATGAGAATTAGGGGGTCTTCGATGAGATCAACGTCTCCAATGAAAGGGGTCTCCGATCACTGTATTCTTCCCAGGCTACAGAAGGAGAAAGTCAAATTTATCCTCTAGTTTTCATTTTATGAAAAAGTTTGAGAAAGTAAATTTGTTTGGTTTCTTCAATAAGAGGAGTTATGATTGAAAACAAATAAGATTTAAATCTTACACACAATTTACATTAGTTTCACGTGGTCCTGGCAATTACAAAATGTGGTCTGACTTTTCTATGCTTTCAAGAATTTTTTTAAACTCAAATTGCTTAATTAACCCAAAATTATTTGATAAATTATCACATTATATGAGTAGTCATGCAACTTTTTTGATATAACTTTGTAATTATATAGCTATTACAGAAAACAAATAAACATAAGAAAACTTATTTTAGATTAGTTTTATCGAATGTTTATTTTTCCATTAATCTTCTTTGAGGTAAAACAAAATTTTAGAATTGACTAAAGTTTTGTAAATTTTAGATTATGAAACAAATTCCAAAAAAGTTTATTTTCAAATTAATGTTTAATCAAATAAGAAGTTTTCATGAAATTTTTGAAGATATGAAAATAAAAAAAAATAAAATTAAACCTTGATATGCAGTCCTGAGAATTTCTAGGACAGACTCCGCTTTTACTTCTAGAAATGATAAATGATTGATACAATTCTTTAATATTTTCATTAAACTAACAGCGTGAGATTAAAACAATAAATAATATATCATTTGCTCTCAATCAAATTAGAATTAAAGGGAGTGACTGGCTAGACACTGGGTAGTTAAAATGAAATTGCAGCATTGTAAAGAAAATTTTTTAGGATTCATTTGAGACCTATAAGACGTTTATGTGGCGTTTATTTGTTCAGCAAGAGCGCAAATTCTATCATTAAAATCCTCCTGGATTGTCATTCTGGAGGCTTGATTTTCATAATTGATTTTTTTATTATTTGACAAAGAAGACGAAAAATGTAACAAATATCCTAAAAATTGTCTCTATACTATGCTACACTCTCAGCTCAACTACTATGTATAACCGGTTACTCTCTTTAATAGAAATTTAAATTCCCAAGGGATTCAATGATAAATCTGACATTCCCTATGAAAAGCACTGGTTTTAAAGAAAACTTTTATATATATTAACTGAATTGCCCGGCGTTGCCCGTAGAATTTAAAAAATCAAATTTTGCAGAAAAATGATCTAGTTTTTTAGCATATGTTACACCCAGGGTTCTCATGAGTTCCCAAAAAAATGTCAGGCAATTTTGTCCAGTTGTCTGTCCAGCTACAACTAACATAAAAATAAGAAAAGAAATATCCAACACATGATTTGAGTTTTTATTTTATCAACATTATGCTATGCATTCTTCAGGATACTAATTTGGTGATTTCTTTAAATCTTTTAAACGATTTTTAAACTCTTTTATGAAAATTTAAAAAAAAACTATTGACAAGATAGGATTTTACAAAGATTGGCAAATAGCTTTTTTATATAGACAGATTATTCTATGACCGGTATATTCTGAACATGTACTTATACTAAAGAATATTGGTTTAAGGTTAATGTTTCAATACTTAAAATGTTCAGATTTTTAAGAGGCTCCATAAGAATCCAAGACGGACAGCCTATTTCAAAAGTGTATTCACTAAAAAAAACATGCAAAAGATGTTATCCTCACCAACACGATTTTACAAACGATTTGTGTTATTTTGGTTAATATTTAAAAAAGAGAAAATATGTTGACCAAACGCAAAGAAAGCAAACTTAACGGGATTACAATTTTGCAATTCTAAAAATGACTCATATTCTTGTAGAACACCTTTGAACTAAAAAACATGAACTGGGAAGTATGACTGAATGAATATACAGTACATGTTGTACTGCCACGGGTCGTACAAGGTTTAAAGTGTTGGATTGGTTGCAGGACAGTATCTGAGATGGACAGTATTACTTAATCTAACCTTGATCTTGATCCTTCTCCACATGTTGATGAACAAGCAGACCAGGCACCCCAGCTAGATCCTGATAATAGATATACTGGAGTATACCCACAGAACAGAGAATATGAATAGAACGGAGTTTAAACAATCCCTGAGGTATGAATTTTGTGAGTTCCTTTCAGTCTGAAAGGGAGTTCAAAGTGTACAATTCATGTAAATGTTCACAAATTATACGCAGTATACATCACACTAATACAGTATGATCCCTGGACATATCCATTCAAATTCCTTTGTTTAATAAAGTTGTTAAATAACTTTAAACGTGGGTATTCGCTATAGGTGAATTGAAGTGTATTCGCTATAGGTGAATTGAAGTGGATTTGCTATAGGGGAAATTCGCTATAGGTGAATTGAATTGGATTTCCTATAGGTAAATTGAAGTGGATTTGCTATAGGTGAATTGAAGTGGATTTACTATAGGTGAATTGAAGTGGATTTACTATAGGTGAATTGAAGTGGATTCGCTATAGGTGAATTGAAGTGTATTCGCTATAGGTGAATTGAAGTGTATTTGCTATAGGGGAAATTCGCTATAGGTGAATTTAAGTGGATTTTCTATAGGTGAATTGAAGTGGGTTTGCTATAGGTGAATTGAAGTGGATTTGCTATAGGTGAATTGAAGTGGATTTGCTATAGGTGAATGCAAAATTCGTCGTTTTTAAAGTAGAGTGAATTTTCATGGATTTTCGTGGATTTTCAAATTTACTGATAATCAAATTTTGTTGGAGGCACATTTCTGAAATTTTCTCGAAATCTGTCAAAGTTGTTTTCAAACAAGGGCAAGGCTGAAATGGTTGGAGGTTTTTTTTACAAAACTCTTTTAATTTTGAAACAATCGGCCTGAATTTTTTAGTCTGTCAGGAAAAAATTATACAAAAGACTTTTCAGTGCACAATGGATGCAAATTTTTCAAAGAGCCATAGGTTGTCACAAATAAAACTTTAGCTCTGTACTCTTTAAATAGTTGAGTTATTTGACTAAAAGCATGTTTTTTTGAAAACTTTTTATTTTTGTTTGTGGAATAGGAAGACAACTATTTGACTGAAAAGGACTGTAAGCATAATTTCNCCTCAATTTTAATATTTTGGTATCATGAGTATTTCAAAAATAAAATATTTTTAAGAAAACTTTTTTTTATAAAATGATGTTCCAGGGCCCAAAAGGTTATATAGCACAAATATGTGAAGTAAACCTGCAGTATGGAAACAGTACAACAAAATGGCCGTTTTACACTTTTTTCGAGTAAAATCCACTCTATATATTATCTGTTCTCTTTGATTACACCTGATAATAGATATTAGATTAGATCCTGATATTAAATATATTAGATTAGAGATCCTGATATTAAAGATATTAGATTAGATCCTGATATTAGAGATATTAGATTAGATAATGATATTAGAGATATTAGATTAGATCCTGATATTAAAGATATTAGATTAGGGATCCTGATATTGAAGATATTAGATTAGATCCTGATATCAGAGATATTAGATTAGATACTGATATTAAAGTTATTAGATTAGATACTGATATTAAAGATATTAGATTAGAGATCCTGGAATTAGAGATATTAGATTAGAGATCCTGATATTAGAGATATTAGATTAGAGATCCTGATATTAGAGATATTAGATTAGATATCCTGATAATATAGATATTAGATTAGATATCCTGATAAAAAAATATTAGATTAGAGATCCTGATAATAAAATATTAGATTAGAGATCCTGATATTAGAAATATTTGATTTGATATCCTGATAAAAAGGATGATAAGAAACCCTTATAATTGAGATATTAGATTAGATCCTGATAATAGAGATACTAGATTTGAGATCCTGATAATAAAGATATACATAGATATCTGATAATAGATATATAAGATTTAGATACTCATATTAGAGTTATTAGATTGCAGATCCTGATAATAGAGATATAGATACTGATGATGAGATATTAGATTGAGATACTGATAAAAGAGATATAGATACTGATGATGAGATATTAGATTGAGATACTGATAAAAGAGATATTTGATTAGAGATCCTGATGATCGAGATATATATATACTGATAGTAGAGATAAATTAGAATAGAGATCCTGATGATAGATACTGATAATAGATATGAGTTAGATTAGAGATCCTGATGATAGAGATGTAGACACTGAAAATAGAGATAAATTTGATTAGATATCCTGAAGATAGAAATATAGATACTGATAATAGAGATAAATTAGATTAGAGATCCTGATGATAGAAATATAGATACTGAGAATAGAGATAAATTTGATTAGTGATCCTGATGATAGATACTGATAATAGAGATAAGTTAGATTAGAGATCCTGATGATAGAGATATAGACACTGAGAATAGAGATAAATTTGATTAGCGATCCTGATGATAGAAATATATATATTGATAATAGAGATAAATTAGATTAGAGATCCTGATGATAGATATTGATAATAGAGATAAATTAGATTGTATTTTTTTATATTTAAATGTTGACAAGTATTATATCTGTTCCTGACTACTTTTTTTATGAATTGTTTGAGAAGTTTTATTGGTTGATATTGCAGTTTACTCTCAGCATAAATACGTGGCTTAATCACACTTCATAACGTAGTCAATTTACAGGCTTAAAGGAACAGATGTTAATTAATTTAAAGGGACTGTAGGCGTAATTTCAAGTTGTCCTCTATTCTAAAAAAAGGGGCATGTCCGATTCACTGTACTTTACCTTTTGAAAAAAGAAAGAAAAAATGTTTTTAGATACTTGTTGAATTTTCTAAATTTGTTTCCGTGGGCAAAGTACACAAGTCACAAGTCAATTATTCTTTAAACTGTGTATTCGGATATGCCAAGCTTTATAAATAGAGGGTAATTTAAAGTTACGTCTATAGTTATATTTAGACCTACCTACTGTTAATGGGTTGGGCCGGCCTTCCCCTGCGATAATTCCAATTTTTAAATAATTAAATTAATAAAATTACAGGGAAATAGGAAATTATATGCTCAATTCATATATAGGGTGAACCACGAAACATGACAGATGGTGAATAGTTCAAAATGTCTTCTTCCATAGTTTGTTAAGTTGTTTGATACCAAGGAGAATAATAAAAAAATATTTCATAGCAGTCATATTATAGTAAAATGGATTTCAAAATAAAAATATTTGCGAAAAAGGTTTTTTTAAAACTAAATAAACCGTAAAAAGTCTTTAACATCTAATACAGGACTGAAAAGTTCAGAACTTAAAAGTTCAGAACTCAAAAGTTCAGAACTTAAAAGTTCAGAAATTAAAAGTTTAGATCTCAAAAGTTCAGAACTTAAAAGTTCAGAACTCAAAGGTTCAGAACTCAGAAGTTTCGAACTAAAACTATGAATTGGAACTGTTCCTGGTGGGTTCAATATATCGACAGGACAGGAGCTGAAATAAGACAGATAAATCAAAAATTGACAAAAGCAAAATGTTTTTTTCCTGAAGGCGAAATATTTTTCCAGGGTTACCCTCAAAGGATGAGACAGATGACTGTACGGAATAATTACTATCTATTGTTTCATTCGACTGCAAACTTGAATCTATCTCTTGCAAATCATTAAATAAACCATTGAGAGACTATTGTCAAGGAACAATAATTAATTTAATCTTGAAATCGTCATACTTTAAGTGTGACAAGTCGTCTTTACAGTCCAACCTTTGTGGTTAACCATGTATTTTGAATTTGGTTGGTCTTTCTAGACAATTTAACCTTAATTTCTTAATTATGATTTACTTTATTTTTGTTTACCTACGGAAAAAAACTTAAATCTTAAATTTAAAAGTTTCGCTTTGGATATTCACCGCCATGCATTTCAAACAAAAATTTACCCTTTATAAGGAAACAGCGCAATTTTTTTTATAATTTTGGCTTTGTGTATCCAATAAAAGTTAAAACGGCTGAACCGATCGGACCCAATCATAGGGACGGTTCAAGCATGGTTAAAGTGAAATATTTTTCCTGAAAAAAAATGTCAATATTTTGGATTTTAGAAATCTATCAAATTTTACAGAAAATCCGCAAAGCTTTAAGTTTTACAATTTCGAAGAAGAAATGGCCGCTTAAAGGGCAACATTTAAATGCTAGATGAGGGCGTGAAGCGCCCTAAAATCCTGGCATTTAATAAAATGGGATAGAATTGATATAAGTACTGCATAAAATGAAATTTGTTGCAAAATCATACAATTGATTTGTTTTGCCAATACAAAAGGGATGTTTTAGTGATATTCAAATGTTTCTTGGAACTTTTTTTTCAACGCCATTTTACAACTTTCTAAACAAAAATTAGAAAATATATTTTTCAACCTTGGACAGTGTCCCCATTCACCTTCTCCTACAATATGGTCACCCTCCAAAAAAACATTATTAAAAGGAAAAAAATTTGAAAGAAAAATATTCACTTTTAGACATCTAACAAGAAAAATAATCTAAGAAAATCAAAAAAAAAATTAAGTAAAAAACTGTATTCTAAAATGTTTTCCTCCAGATTGGTTTTTGTTGAACACCAAGCAAGACCCTCTTCATCAAACTCAGTTGTACATGAGGCAAATATCTGAAACAAACTCAACTGTACACGAGGCAAATATCTGAAAAGTTTTAATTTAGGAAAAGATCAATTCGCCGCAATTCGAATCTGGGCAGACATCATCATCATTGGAGTACTAATACTATTCGAGAGAGGAGACTGGAGACCCATCTGAACGCATAGTTGGAGATCCCCAGATTCTCGTTGGAGACCCCCAGATTTTCGTCGGAGACCCCCAGATTTTCGTCGGAGACCCCCACATTTTAATTGCAGACGAGAATCTTGGGTCCCCAATGATGATGATTTATTTCCAGACTACAAAAAATCTATTTCTCTATATGCTTGCAACCTGATGTGTTCATACCTCAAACTAAAAATTGAGCAATTGTGTTCGAAAAAGAAAGTATGAAATTCCAGAGGTTTACACCATCAGGTTGCAAACAAATAAGGCGAGTGCTCAGTTCTTTTGCAAAAACTACAATTATTTTTGCTCAAAAAAGATACAGTTACAACATTTACAGTGTTCTTTTAATTAAGAAAATCCTATTTAAAGAACTGAGTTTTTTGGGGGGATAAAACACCTTGCTCAAACAAGTTTTATGTGTAACTAACCAAATCCATAAAAAATACTTAGTTGGCGTATTGAGGGGGCTGCACAACGGGTGCTACTAATAAGCAACCATAAAAAAATAAAAATTATTTAAGCCCCCGTTGACAAATTTCTAAAAATAGCCTGAGCAGTGAGCACATAGATTTTATAGATTTTAAGGAGGAAATCCTTTATGTCTTTGGAACCTAAGAAAAACTTATTCTTTAAAATGGATTCACCGGAACAGCTGTGAAAACCTGGACTGGAACAGTACGCATACAGGTTTCATTATAAACCTGGACTGGAACTGTAAGTTTACAGGTTTCATTATAAAAAGCATAAACATGCTAAAGTTATTTTGTATCCTAAATCTACAACTAAAGAACTAAAAGTTACAAGTTAAAGGGACCGTTTATTTATTTGGGTAATTTCAGAGTGAACTAAACAGACTATTCGCTGTTGATTGGAATTAGTCTTACTTTTCAAAGACAACTGTTGCCGGAGAAAAAAAGCCGATTTTTCGCTCATAATGGTATCTTGTACGGTGTACCAGAAGTAACCAAGCGCACTTGCAATTTTGTTAGTCAAAATTTATCATTCAATTCTTTTACCTTTCCCTTGAATTTGAATGGGAAAACGCATCTCTTCCCTGCTTGAGTAAAACAAGCCTGGCTTCCTGTTCCTAGAGATGAGCATCGTTTTTGTGAACAAATGTAATTTTTGAGAACGAACAAAATTTTTCGTGAACGATGGTGTCGTATAAAGAAAACGAATAATGAACAAACGACTTATGATCGTTTAGAGAAATGAAAAAACGATATTTTTTTAATGAACGATTTAAATCGTTTAAACGAACTTGAAAAAGCTATCATTTTATTACTGAATGAACAAATTTTCCACAAGATTTTGAAAACTATCGTCTTTTACTGAACGAAAACGCGTTTTCGAACAAACTTTTAAAAAAACGATAGCTTTTTGATGAATGAAAGATTTTTTTAAAACAAACTTTGGAAAAACCATCGTCTTTTTAAATGAACGAATAAATTAGATTTAAAATGAACGATAAAAACATACAAAAATTTTACGATTAAAAAAAAAACAAAATGGATCGTTCACAAACTATGAACGATTGAAATGAAATAAAAAAGCCGATTGTGTCCATCTCTACCTGTCCCCCCTGTTCCAAAATTAACACCATCCTTTAAATACAAAACTCATTCAAGTAAAATGCTTCACCACAATACAAACTAGACAGATGGAGAAGGTAAACTATATGCAGCATCACTGATACAACTTTGCGACCTCGTAGCTCCTCTAGCTTTGATTTTACGCAAAAATATGAGAAAAGAAAATTTGCTTGAGTATATATTGAAAATTCAAAACATTTTTTTTTTCATTTCAACAGCTCTTCAATAAGAGGTGTTATGGTTGAGAACAAATTAGATTTCAATCTTATGATAAATTTACTGCAGTTTGACGTGACGGTAAGACCGTTTCTGAAAACTGAAATTTCCAGTCTTTTTATAAAAATATTAAACAGTGTACTGTAAATACTTTCTTCAGTATATTGTGTAATGTAAATACTTTCTTTAGTTTATTGTGTACTGTAGATACTTTCTTCAGTATATTGTGTACTGTAAATACTTTCTTCAGTATATTGTGTACTGTAAATACTTTCTTCATTATATTGTTCTGTAAATACTTTCTTCAGTTTTTGTGCACTGTAAATACTTTCTTTAGTATATTGTGTACTGTAAATACTTTCTTCAGTATATTGTGTACTGTAAATACTTTCTTTAGTATATTGTGTACTGTAAATACTTTCTTCAGTATATTGTGTACTGTAAATACTTTCTTCAGTATATTGTGCACTGTAAATATTTTCTTCAGTATATTGTGTACTGTAAATACTTTCTTCATTATATTGTGTACTGTAAATACTTTCTTCAGTATATTGTGTACTGTAAATACTTTCTTCACTATATTGTGTACTGTAAATACATACTTCAGTATATTGTGTACTGTAAATACATACTTCAGTATATTGTTTACTGTAAATACTTTCTTCAGTAAATTGTGTACTGTAAATACTTTCTTCATTATATTGTGTACTGTAAATACATTCTTCAGTATATTGTGCACTGTTTTTTTTTTAATACTTTCATTTTACACGTAGTTCTTTTCTAATGATTAATCACGTATTTTTTAAATGAGTAAGTATTGTAAACCTTGGCGTTTTATTACCTTTAAAAAAAATAAAAGTCATGGATTACATAATCAAGGAATTATAAAACCTAAAAAAGAACACAGACAAACTATTAAAATTTAATGATTCTGCAAAAAAATGTATATAAACAAGCTTTTACTTTTTAATTTTTAATAATTCAATTTATATTTTAAAAACCTGAAAAGGAATTTATTTCTCACTTCCCCGAATTATAATTTTCTAATTCCTATATCTTAGCAACCTGCAGTGGTGTAAATATTCAATATTACAAACTTTTACTATTTGATCTAGAAAAAATTTTTAGTGTAAAATATCAAAGCTCTACGACATCAGATTTTAAAGATATAGTGATAGGAAAATTATTTGATTTAGACCCGCTCTGCATTAGCTTATAGCGATCTACAAATTTGAAATAAAATAATTTTTAAGTTTTGAGTTTTGTATTTTCCTGATTATTTATCCTTGCTTGTATCCATGGTAGATGTTCTTTAACATTCGTATAAACACCAGGTTTCCCGCCTAAATAAATATATTTATATATGCTACAAACATTTATATATTTATATATATATATCTCGGATATATATTTATGTATAATGTAAATGTCTGTTTGTTTGTTTGTAACCGAAACCGTCAAAACGGCAAAACCAATCGAGTCCGAGTTTTTTTGGACCTAACATGACCCTGGGGAAGGTTCATGGATGCTCAGAAATTTTCGTAAAATTCAAAAAATGCATGAAAAAAATCATAAATCAATTTTTTTATTATACAGTTATCTACAAAATGAAAATGTTGAACGACTGAGCAACAATGAAAGATGAAATAGGAACCTATAGTATTATATATTATTAATAACTGTCGAAAATATTTCTTTATCCCTATTTTAGTTTAAATTTCCTTCGAAAGGGAATCACGCAGTTTTCTCAGCAACATGTGACTTTCAAACAAAATTCAACATTTAAACACAAACTTTTCTATTTCTCTTTAATTTTTTTTTGTTGGTTGATCCGTTTTGTATGGCAACTCTGTAAGTTTAAAGATTGTTGAATTATAGGCCAGAACCCGCTTGAATTTGTATTAAAGTAACACCGGTAGCATCTCCCCCTGGTTAGTATAGAGATCCGACATACAATAGAGGAGGTCATTAATTGACTTTTTTGATGTTACACCTTGGAACAAACCAACCCCGGTTTTTATGGAGTCCATAAAGTCCAAATATGAAGAAAAATATTTAGGGTCAGTAAAAAAAACTATTTTTTTACATTTCTCTTTTGATTGAACTTTAAATAAAAATTTGCGAGCCCAAGACCCCCTTCCAAATACACAATCATGGCTTTGTTGATTTTTTGATGGGTCAAATATTTCAGAAGATATAGGTAGTTAAAAATCAGGAATTTGCATTTTTAGGATCTAAGCATGATTAAATAAATTTTTAAAATAATGCTATTGATTTTCTAAATCTTAAAAGCCCAGAGAGCAGATAATTTGACGATGATTACCATTTAATACAATTTTTGGGGCAAAATAAACAAATTTTAAAAATAATGAAAAAAGAAAGTCAGCGAAAACTAAGACGACATTTCTTCCATAATTTCCATAATTTCCATAGTCGGCAGATCAGAAGCTGGGAAGGGTTTAGACGTCCCCACAACCGTTTTTGAGCCTTAGCTCGAGTTTTTTCTTTCATTCGTAAATCGTGAGTTTACAAAAAAACCAAAACAATACAGTGCGGGTTTGTTGCGTACTGTATTGTTGAGACAAATGTCGTCTTCGAAAAGAAAACGACAACAGAAAACGACAACATTCTTATCTTTAGAAATGGATCTTTTTAATGCAACTTTAATGTTGAATTTAAAGGTTTTTTCAGAAATCAATTAATTTTTGTAAGTCATATCGCAACTTATTTTGCCTCCTTAATTTTGTAAACAACGACCTCCTCGAATATACAAACTGAACTATTTTTCTATTTTCAGAGAAATGTTCAGAAAAGGTACCATTGTGAATTGAATACTTGATATTAAGTCGACAGTCCCATTAAAGGGACTGTATGTGTAATTTCAAGTGATCCTCCATGCAAAGATGGCAGTGCATGATTTACAACGGTACCATTAAAAGCTTTGTATAATTAAGTATGAATTAGATATTAATATTTATCATTTTAAAAACTGCTTATTTTTGATTGAGGTTTCTTAACCAAAGTGACTTGCACATTTCTACAGCAGGAAAACTTATGAGAATTAAACACTTTTCAAGTTAGAAAAAACGACAAGGTTTTTCATTGATGTTCAGGAAAGATTTAGAAAGAGTGCCATCATGGGAATTATACTCTCGACTTTAAGGGTACAGGCCCTTTATGCATACTGCCCCTTTAAAGGGACTGTATGCGTAATTTCAAGTGACCCTCCATGCTATGATGGCAATGCAAGATTCATAACGGTAACCTAATCAAGTATGAATTAGATATCAATGTTTATAATTTTGAAAACTGATTATTTTTAACTGAAGTATCTCTAGAAAAGTGACTTGAACGGTTCCACGAGTTCCACTGAAGAAGTACTAATGGGAATAAAACGTAGTTTAAGCTAGAAAACCGTATTTTTATTGCTGTTCAGATAAAGATTTTGAAAGGGTGCCATTGTGAATCGATCCCTTGAAATTAGGTGAACAGTCCCTTTAAGTTAAAATATCTGACCTAGTCTGCCACACTCGGGTTCACCGAAGGATGTAATTCCAAGCAAAAATTCTCTTCAAAACATCATCAGTAAACTTTTAAAGAGTTTTGAATTAAGGGAGAGACCGGCAAGACATACAAGTTGAGCTGAAAGTGCAGTATTGTAGAGAACAAACTTTAGGATTCATTTGATACCAATCAGACATTTTTACGGTGTACAAATCTTAAATAAGAGCGTAAAGCCGTTTGTAATGTTTCACCAGTTGTTTCAGTCAGCAGAAGAAACGTTTTTTACAATTATATAATATCCAGGACAAAACATGTTAAAAGAGATTATTTTTTGGACAAATTTGCTATTTTGGAATATATTTCTTTAAAGAAATTATCGATGAAAGTCATAGAATCGATTATTTAATTACCATCATTACCTATGCTGTTTCTATAACCGTATTCGTATTTTTCTTTAAAATGTCGTCTTCACAACTAAAATAAAGAAAACCTTCAACAAGTGGCACTAGCTGAACGAATTTGCATAAACCTAGGTAATATCGTATAATAAATTTTAAAATTTATTTTCAATGATATATGTTCATTATTTTCTCAACCTGTTTGCATGCAACTAGTTTATAGAATAGTAAATGTATATGTTTTGTCCATGTTATTTAAGAATTGTAAAAAAAACTTGTCTTCTGCTGACTGAAACATCAAGTGAAATATTACAATACGACTTTATTCTCTTATTTAAGAATTGTACACTGTAAAAATGTCTCATTGGTACCAAATAAATCCTAAAGTTTTTCTCTACGGGGTGTCCCAATAAACATGGGAGTTCAGTGACGAATTCAATATCGTCTTTGTTATGAATTAGCATTGTAATACCTGATTTCAAAAACATAATATTATTATGTCTGCTAGAGTTTATTTTATGAAAACGGTGAATGGTTGTAAAGATGTGACTACAATGTCTTTTCAAGATAAACAGTGAGGACGGACAAGTTTACTCTGTTTGTATACTGTAATTTTCTTGTTTTACTAAGTACAACCGTATGCAGTCAATACATAAACAAACAAATTGTAAACATAGCAGACGAAAATCTTTCGGATTACAGCTTTCTCGGTGATCTCAGTAGGTATCACTATACTAAATCAAAGAATTATTTGAAAAGACCATATCGAGTTCGTTACTGAATTCCCATGTTTATTGGGACACCCTGTACAATACTGCACTTTCAGCTCAACTACCATGTCCTAGTCGGTCTCTCCCTTTAAGTTCAATGTCTAAATTGAAAAATTATAGATAAAGGTGTGTTAAAAATATTTAAGAAATAAAAGAAATATGGTGTTAAAACGTTCAGCTCAACTACCATGCCTAGGCAGTCTCTCCCTTTAAGTTCAATGTCGAAGTTGAACATTTTTAAGGTAAAGATTAAAATATAAAAGAAATAAAAAAATAGAGTGTTAAAACTTTTTTTTCTTCTAAATGTAAATTGTTCTGGGTCTGTTTCCTGTTATTAGGTCCTGAAGCTGTCAGCCCACCACCACTTTAAATATAGGTTACCATTACAATAAAAAATCATTACAGTGGTCCTCAAAATATAAATCTAAAGTTAATGTGTTTTCGGTGTTTATATGGGAAGGAACAGAGTTCTTGCCACTCAATGTCGTAGACTTCTGCTGGTTAAAATTGTATAAGTATAAGTCTACACCAAGTAGCTATAGTGCCCGACGTTGCCCGTGGAATTTAAAATAAATTTTTAAAACAATTTAGTCTATGTTACCCACAGGGTACCCATTAGGTTCTTCAAAATATTGTAGCCAATTCGGTCAAGGCATTTGGCCAGCTAGAGCTAAAATACATACAAATAAATATATATATATGAGCTAAGAGCTTTATTATGTAGACTAGGCGTTGCCTGTGGAATAAAAAAAATCTAATTTTGAAAAATATAATTTGGTTTAGAAAAAAAATTCTGATTTTTGAAGAAAAAAAAACACTTCACACTTTTATTTGACAAAGAAATCAACTTCAACTAAACATTATGTTTCATGCTTTGCCAGCAATCTTCGGCAGTAAATCTTTGATCAACAACAAGTTTGACGATTTTTTTTTAAGAAGAGCTTTATCTATGTATATAAGGAAGTGATCTCTGTTTGTTTGTTTGTTTGTCCGATCATAACTCAGGAACCTCTAAACCGATTTTCCTCATGGCCTCAAAATTTGATTGGGGAAATCGGAAGAACCATGAGAATGTTCTTAGCTTGATTGGATCAAATTAAATAGGAAAAGTATCTAAAATCATAATTTACGACCATACGCGGTTAAACGGCGGGAGTAACTATAAAGTACGCTGGGCAACGCCGGGTTCCTAAGCTAGTATCTAATATGATAATAAAATAAGTATATAAGTAAACTATCCCTATCGCCATTGCAGCTATCGGCTAGAATAGACAAGGCTTCATCTCCTCCTGAAAGAAAAATTCTTGAAAATTTATGAATGTATGAACATAACGTTATCTATATACTTTGCTGGGGTGCCTGTTTGTTTGTTTGTATCCAAAATAAACGTCAAAACGGCTAAACCGATCGGGCCCAAGTTTTGTGTGGGACCTCACATGACCCCAAGGAAGGGTTATGAATGCTCAAAGTTTAAAAATTTGTCTCCCAAAATTTTGATTTTCGTGAAATTTCCGCGATCGTTAATAATATTTAATAATAATTTTTATTTGTTTCATATACAATATGCTTTCAACGACGATTTTTTGGCCGCTAGGAGTCTCTGCTCTTGATGCTTCAGGGAGAAACCCCCAGCAACACCTTACGGGCAAAAAATCATCGTTTAAAGTACATAGTGTACAAAGAGAATAGAATATATATTAGAGGGGAATTTACTAGAAAAAAGTGTAAAACGGCCAATTTGTTGTACTGTTTCCATACTGCAGGTGTACTTCACATATTTATGCTATATAACCTTTTGGGCCCAGGAATATTATTTTATAGAAAATCTAAAATTAATATTAAAAGAAAACCAAATTTTGAAATAGGCTGGTTTCATAATTGACCAATGATTATTTCACATAGACTCTATGCCTTTCACTTTACAAATGATGATTTTCCGTAATAACTATAAATCAAATGATGTTTTTATTCACCTAATTCATTATAAAGTTTATTTAACAGTTTAAAAAATTCGAAATTGAAATGAATAGTCCAGGGAACATACTGTATTAATGTACTCTACTGCATATAATTTGTGAACATTTACATGATTTGTACACTTTGAACTCCCTTTCAGGCTGAGAGGGACTGAAAAAAATCATACCGAGAGATTCTCTAAATTCCACTCTAATATATATTCTATTCTCTTTGATAGTGTATAAAACAAATAAAAATTATTAAGAAATATAAACTTTGAAATGTATAGAATTAAATTCGATAATAATAGGTTATAATATCTGAATGGTCAGTTTTAAATTAAATTAAATTATTTACAATATAAGTGAAATATTGCAACTACTTGAATTTTCTCATTACAGATTCAACAGATAGAATAAAGATTATTAGCGATCACCATCGAATTCGATTCAACGTTAACCTATACCCACGTTCATTTTTCGTGAACCCTCCCTTTAATTTATTCATTTCACTTCAAAAATTAGCAATGGTCACGTAAGTATCAAAAAGCTTTTTCTGAAACCAAAAAAAAATACAATTTTTGACCAAAATGTCCAACGAATAAAAAATTTACAATTCTTTAGGTCGATAATCATTAACTATTACTTGATTTTTGATTTTTTAAGGATGTAATATTTTCTATTTGAAGCAAAATATTAAATGTCATATCATTTTTTGTTATCTTTAAAATGATAGTTTTTGAATCGCCACTGACAAAATTTAATTTAAACATTCATACAGGATGTCCCGAAAAACCGTTGTGGTAGCTAGAGCATCAATTTAAAAAAAAAAATTATATCTTCTAAAAATGTTCGCGGTTTTTGGGACACCCTGCATTTCTTAAGCTAATATTATTCACAGTTCAAGAGTTACAGAAATAATTGACTTTAAAAAAAATATTTTTTTGAAATTTGCAATTTTTATTAAAGAAACTAACTAAAGTTGTAAAGAAAAAAAATCATATGTCTTTATGTGAATAGATTATGTTGTCTTCGGTTTATTATTAGATTTTAAAAAAAATAAAAAAATAAAAAAATAAAAAATAAAATAAAAATATATTTTTTTTAAATGAGAAAAATAAAAGAAAAAGACACGAAGGTAAACAACAAAATTAACATTTCAAAAAAAGAAAAAAGATAATTGAAGTTTCGTTTTCTGAGTGGAGGGGGGGGGGTAAACCAGAAAACAGTTAATTAAATTGATGCTTGATGTAGGGTGCGAGTTTTTTTCGGAATGGAAGATATCTTAAACTTGTTTTGTAAGCAAAAGTAGAGAAATTGTGAAAAATAATGGAAACAAATAATATATTATGTTATTTTGTCAATAAAGGAAAAAGCTGAAAACAAAACGCTTCTCTTAAACCATGAAAGTTACACAGGTCAAAGAAAACTGTTTAAAAGCAAGAAATGAAATCTTTGTTACCTGGGACTGACAGAACCTTAGAGCCAAGAGCACAAAGTTGATTTCCTCTGAATTAGATTAGATTATAATTCAACAATCTTTAAACTTACGGAGTTGTCTTTTTCTACTTTTTCATTCTAAACGCAATAAGGTAAAAAAGAGAAAAGGAGAAAAAGTTATGTGTAATAGGTCAAATTGGGATCGAAAGTCACAGTTCTCTGGGATAAGTACCGAACTATTAATTCTGCTTGAAGCTGCAAAGATTTACGGATAATAAATTTATAGTTGAAGTCGAATTTTCTATTCCTTTGTTTTGTTTTATTTTTCTTGCATTATTTCTTGATTAAAATAGTTTATTAAATTTGTTTGCTTTCTTAATAGTAAATGAAATTTTCGTTTCCGCATCACATTTATATAATGCCGGAACGAGATTTTACAAAAGAGTTCAAACGAAAATTTTTAAAACCAACCTGAAATTACAAAGTTTCAGGGTTTTCCACAGAATTCGAAAATTTTTAGCAATTTCGCGAAAATGGTTTTCAAAAATTTTACGAAAGAGATTGAAGGAAAATTTGAAAACCCTACCTGAAGTTCCAAAGTTCCACACAAGATTCCTTAGATTTGAGATCAACTGATGCAGTCTGTAGAAGGATAGGGTGGGACTTACGTCCATCTCTGATTAAAGAATGAATTATTATTTTTGAGAATTTACAAATAGACGTATTTAAATCTATATTTATTGAATTCACAATAGAGCTGAAGGTTATAGTTTAAGTACCGGTCTGACGTCACAGCTAGATAAATTGTATAATGTACAGATGCATATTGCATACAGACTGTACACGGCCACTGTAAACTCTGGTTATTTTCATAAACTGGGTAGAAATGGGTGCATTCGTTTTTTTCATTTCGTTCGTTTATCGTTTGTGGACGACCCATTTTGTTCGTTTTTATTCTATCATTTTTAAAGCTTTAATTCGTTTGTTTCAAAATAATCGCTCATTTTCTCATTGTGTTTTGTTTGTTTTCTCGCTGAACGATTTTTTAGTAAAATCGTTTGTTCAATAAAAATTGTCCTTTAAATAAAATCGTTTAATTAGTAAAAACGATAGGGTTTTTAAAAAGTTTCTACAAGAAATCGTTCGTTAGTAAAAACTGTCGGTTTTTAAGTAGTTTGCTCCAAGAAATCGTTTGTTCAGTAAAAACTAATGTTATTTTCAATCGTTCAAAAAAATTATTTTTTTCGTTCTTAAAATCATTATTTATTTTCAATGTATTTTTCGTTTTCTCACTAAACGATCATTTAGTAAAATCGTTTGTTAAATAAAATCGTTTGATCAGTAAAAAATGATCGGGGTTTCAAAGGATTGTACAAAAAATCGTTCGTTCAGGAAAAACTATTGTTTTAAAAAAAATGTAATCCAACAAATCATTCGTTCGGTAAAAAAGCTAAAATTTTCTCAGTTTTCTCAACAATCCAAGTCTTTCGTCCAATGTTAGTTTTTTTTTCTGAACGACACCATCCTTCATGCAGATTTCGTTCATTATCAAAAATTTCTTTAGTTCTTAGTTCACAAAAACGATGCCCATCTCTATCCTGAAGGCAGACTTTAGAGCAAGCTGTGCAGTACAAATACAGCTTAAAAGGCTAAACGGAACGGTACGCCGAATTACTGAATGATACCCATCGAGGGAAATTTCTATGCGACAAACCGGTACAGTACATAAAAAAATTTGATTATTTAGTTTTTGAAGTTTTTGGTATTTTCGCAAATCGAAGTTTTTCAAATCAATTCGAGTTTACTTGGCTTGTAAAACTAATAAGTACTTTCCTTGGGGAAACAACCACCCCGAAACCAGACACAAGAGCAGATTCAACATCTCCTGTTATTCAAATATAACATTTGTTTTCAACATTTCATTTGTGATAATTGTTAATGCAAAATTAAGTAAAATAACCACCCACCCTGCGAAGTTTTTGTGAATAAATGAGCACATTTTTATCTCAAAAGACGAGAAATTGTGTTAAGTTAAGGTAACTTGGTAACACTTTACCAAGTGTTCTCTCTACAATTTTGCCACCAAAACATCCCTCGTTGCGGTCTGGATGTTTTGCATGCAAAAGTTGTCTGGTGAACCCTTGGTAAAGTAAAATTTCCTAAACTTCCATGTAAAGTAGTAGTTAATGAATATACCTCCTAAATAGCAAGACAGTTTTATAACGCTGTTCGGGGAGTCATGGTCGGTGTCATAGAACAGTATTTTCTCCATTGCAACACAATTTTAAAGTTGCTTTTAACGTCTAGAATTTTGTTAAAATGGTTAAAACACATGGGGGTAGGCTCTCCGTGCAGGACACCAGGCTTGTCAAAATACAATAAAAGTTAAATTTGCAAATTTGGAAATCAAGGTTTCTGCAAATGTAAACACTCACAAGATGTTTTTTAGACTAAAATTGTATAATTGGAGTTCTTTTAACAACCAGGATTTTCAGGATTTTAGAGGACTCTTCAAAATTCTTAGAATTTGAAAATATTTAGAAATTGTTTTTCTAAAAGTTTGCGTTGATCAAACTATGCAAAATCTTGACATTAGCAAAAAAATAAAGCCATAACGATTTTAAAAATTGTTCGTAAATTCGACTGATTGATTTTCCTTCGTTAAGGCTTAAACCTTCATTCAATTTTGATGGAATTTATCACACCTAATATTTTCCGTTGTAGGGTGATTAAGTGACTTTATCGCCCTACAACAGGGCGAAAAAGTAATTTCAAATTCCATACCTAATTTGTCTTATTGTAGGGTGATAAAGTTACTTAATCACCCTACAGCAGGGTGATTAAGTAACTTTATCAACCTGCTTTTAAATAATTTGAGTAAAACTGAATAAAACTATATATGTTATTGATATGGGTATCATGCGTGCGAAAAAGTTTTTGCTGTGATTTTTATTTTTTCTAGTTTGTTTTTGATCAAAATACTTTTATCTAGAAAAAAACTAGTAAAAATAAAAATCTAGGCAAAACTTTTTCGCACAATACCCATTACAATGACATAAATAAAAGAAGCTGATGGAAAATAAATTCTCTTCGAATTTTGTAAATACTTCTGAAATCCAAAAATCCTAGAATATTAAAACAGAACCAGATTTTTATATGAAAAAATAAAATTAAAGTCTTTGACACAAATGTTAATTTTCTAATCCCTTTTATCTTTGCAACCCAAGGTCGTAGACATCAGATGTTTCAAACTATGAATTCTAATAGATTAAATAATCTTAGTTTGAAAAATCAAAAGTTGACACCACCAAGTTGCAAAGATAAAGGGATAGAAAATTTGAGTTTGTGATAAAGAATTGTTACCCTGACAAAATATAATTATTTTGAAATCTGAAAGAATTATATAGAATCCCTGATGAGAAGGTAAATGGGAGACAAATAGGTATTGTTGTAGGGTTCAAGATATCCACACTTGATCTTAACGTCAACACCGCGAGGTCATGACCTTAAAATTGAAAAATTAAGTTTAGGGTTTCCACGAAATGGCTAAATCTTTTTTGCGGAAAATTTGCGCTATTTTCGCGCAAATTTTTTTGCGAACTTTTGCGCTATTTTCGCGCAAATTTTTTTGCGAACTTTTGCGCTATTTTTGCGCATGAAACGCATTGAGTTTTGCGCGGTGTTGGGCTATTTTTTTGGCGCAATTTGCGCAAAACCGGAAATATTTTTTGCGAAAGTTGCGAAACGAAATTTTAGTTTTGCGTAATTGTTTTGCGCAATTTGCGCAAAACCGCAAGTTTTACGCAAAATGTAACTTTTTAGGAAAATTGTCAAAAATTGATATTCTAAGCTATAGAATTATTTGATTTATTCCATACATTGAAAAAAATATTAACCTACGAGTATGATAGCGATTATACTACACTCAATTGGTTGCTTCCAGTAACAAAAAAATTAAGGGACCAAAATTAATAAAATAGAAATTAGAGAGTGTGAAACTTGGCAATATTTTAATCCTATTAAATAATTTCAAGTGACCCTTAAAAGCTTTGCCTAATCAAGTATGAATTATATTCTTAAATTTTTTTAATCAAATTTCTGAAATCTTTTTAATCTCATATAAAATAATTCAAGAAAGTAACCAATGCCTGAAGAATCCACTTTTAGGAAATATGCATGTCCAAAACTAAAATTGTCTAGACTTTTACTGGACAATCTGTTTCGGATTTTGGTACAAAACCTTCCAGCACTGGAAGAATTGAATTCAAAGAAACACACACAGTCACCAACCGTTTGATTTTTACGAAATTGCGGAATTGCGCAAAACTCTAGTTGCAGAATTGTGAAAAACTTGAGTTTCGCAAAAGCGGAATAGGGCAATTTTGCGCGAAATGACTTTTGCCAATGATTGCGCAAATTGTTGTTTTTCGCGCAAAACTGATGCGCAAAGAAAGAAAAATTTTGCGTTTCGTTCCGCAAAAATTGCGCAAAAGTTTTGCGAATGGAAACCCTAATTAAGTTCTTGTTTGATATCAAAATTTTATAATTTGGCTACAAATAAAATTCTTTAACTATGTTTTCATTTTAAATTATTAATCTTATCAACTTAACAGAATTAATTTAATAAATAGAATTCATTTTATAGCTAATTTATTTTATGTTATAAGTTTACATACAATCCCATTTGTATGACTAATTTTTATTTTGTATCAATGCTATAAGTTCCCAGCTCTGAACGTTTTCGGAAATCAAAAAAAGTTAAATTAAAAACAAATGCTAAAAATTGTAACAATTGCTGAAGACGATAATCATTCTGAAGTTTTCCAATGTGCATAATGCATATATCATTTCTATTTATTACAATTTTTAAAATTAATAAATAAACACTTACCTTGGAGTATATCATTTAGCCTGTCTCCCCTGTCCCAGCCTTCAAATATCAAATTTATTATTTTTCTAAACAAACAAAATGCAAACTTTAATTTTCTAAGCCCTGTATTTGTTGCAACGTGATAGTGAAAATTTTGACTATTTGCAATGGTGTTAGGTATTTTCCCAAAGGGATTTTCCCAAGGGCAACTTCCCAAGTGAAACTTTCCCAAGTGGCAACTTCCCAAAAGTGAAATTTCCCAAGCGCCAATTTCCAAAAGGTTAGGTTAGGCCTTCCGAGGCGCCGCAGGCTGCAATGGGCTGCGGCTAGGATGGGGTAATGGGCCAAGAGCTGCGGTTAGAACAGGCTAGTGTGTCGAGCGCTGCTGCTAGAACAGACTTGGTAGGTTGCCACTTGGGAAAATGCCTTTGGGAAAATACTTGACGTCTTTGATATAACTGAAGAGATGGTTTGATTTTTTTAAATCCTATGACATTCAGTTGCAAATATATAAAAATTAAAAAAAATAGAATCTGAGAAGAATAAAAATGTTTTTCTTTGAATTAACAAAATAACTATGCTTTCTTACACGGTGTTACAAGGTCATAAAGTCGTAAAAATGTGAAGACCTTTTTATTGCAACATGATTATAGTTTAAAGTTTTAATAATAATCTACTATAGTTTCCGCAAGTGTTTTAGACTCTTTTGAATATTTGATAAATAGGTTTTGCGAATATTAAAAACCGGTAATCTGAACTTTTCAAAACTTTGGTGACAAAAATGACGAAAGGTTGTGTTACTTCATGAATAAAAACAGAAAATAATTATTTGATTCCCACTAGAATTTGAAACCTAAAAACTATGATATTTTTTCCACTAAAAATATTATTTGTATTTATCAATTTTGATTTTTACCAAGATTTCAAGTCATTTTCATTGTATAAATATAAACGCTGACCACTGTACTTAACAAATATTACCTGGATGTAAATCAATTTTCTCCACAGTCCTTGTGTCTCCAAGTCCTAAAAAATATTCAATTATTAATTTAAATTTTTTTTTTCATTGTTTCTGAACTCTTAGTATTGACTATTGCGCCTCTTGCATATCAGTTTTGACTCGATATTGTAGCTCTACAAAGGGAACTTTCAGCGTCATTTCAAGTGACCCTCCATTGAATGTGTGGCATGTCCGACTCACAATGGTACTATTAAAAGCTTGGTTTGATCAAAAGTTGCAGCAAAAGCTATACTTGCGCAATTCTACTGTAGCAACAAAGAATGGAAAATTATCAGCTAAGATACGATGTTATCTTCTATCATTATAATTAGTTGTTGAGATAAAGGGATCGGCAGTTTGAAATAAAGGGATCGGCAGTTTGAAATAAAGGGATCGGCAGTTTGAAATGAAGGGATCAGCCGTTTGAAATAAAGGGATCGGCAGTTTGAAATAAAGGGATCGGCAGTTTGAAATAAAGTAATCGGCCGTTTGAAATAAAGGGATCGGCCGTTTGAAATAAAGGGATCGGCCGTTTGAAATAAAGGGATCGACAGTTTGATATAAAGGGATCGGCAGTTTGAAATTACGATTTAGTTTCTTTAAATTTGTTTAATTACATTGCTTGATTTTTGTTTGTTCGTATTATTTTCAATTTGAACGCGAAGACGGATGAACTGATCGCGGGCTCAAAGTTCTGCCAACTCACATGAGCCATGACGGATGAACTGATCAGGCTCAAAGTTCTGCCAACTCACATGAGCCATGACCCCAGGAAAGGTTTGTAATAAATATAGTAGTAAACCACATATTTTGTAAACCTGAACATACCTGTATTTAAAAATTACGTTATAACTTTATCTGTACCCTAACTACGTTCATTAATTTAACTACTTTCTTTAATTTAACTACGTTCATTAATTTAACTACTATTTAATTTCTGAACAGACCATCCTCCATATTTTTAACATGTACGATAAAAATCCGAAATATAGATCAGTTGGATATGAATCTTTGCTTTATTACGCTTAGACACGTATTATTTCTCGTGTAGAGAGCATCCAGTTTGAACGATACATACTTTAGAATACAGAGAGTGCTGAATCTGGATTGATGCAAACTGAAGTATTATTGGTTTTCCATTGAGTTCGAGAGTTGTATTTGAACGAAACATACTAAAAAACTGTATCTGGATTGAAACAGACTAACGTATAATTGGAGAATATAGAGTTCGAGATTGGGTTGTACTTGGATTGATACAGACTTAAAAGAACTATATAGGAGTAAGGCATTTGTTACAGGTTTATGAATGGTTAAAGGTGAAAAAATTAGCTCGAAAAATGTTGAGATTATTTTAAAAATGCGCAAACTTAGAAAAATCCGCGAGATACGATTTATAATAAAAAAGAACAACCGTTAACAGCTATAATTGTTAATAGTAATGGGTCGCGAAGCGTTGTTCGAAACGGTTAAAAAGGCACTACACCCAACATTTATGTATAAAGTTGTAATCTCTGTGTTTTCTGTATATTTGTTAGTTCGTATATCAGAGCATAACTGAAGAACCTGGTTGAAGACGGTTAGTTAGACCGAGATATAGAAGAAGCTCATCCGTCCCAACCCTAGCATTCATTCCATGTTAATATTCAAGAGTATACCGTATATAGAATATATATATAGAGTATACCGCATATAGAATATATATAGAGTATACCGTATATAGAAAAAAAAAATGTATAAAATATTTACAGGTTGCAAAATCTCACTGATTTTTTAACAATTTATTTTTTATTTTTTTTATTTTATAAATTGGGTTCAATATCTGAAAGATTAGTTTTAAATTAAATTGAACTGTTTACGATCTGAGTGCATGGAATAATGCAACGCTGGGAATTTGTTCATGGACGTTGCTCTTAGGTATCAGTTAACATTTTCTCCTTATCGACGCAACATAGTAAAGCAAAATTAGTAGCGATCGATATCGAATTTAATACGACATCAACCTATGACCCGTTTAATTTTTCGCGAACACTCCCTTTCAGAAATTTGATAATTTATGTTTATCTTTCCTCTGCAGTACTGTTTTCAAATTGTTCAGGACAGATTCCAAATTGGTTTGTGTTGGCCCAGTAACAATGAGCAGCTGATAAACAATAAAAAGTTGTAATCAAAGGGACTAATTAGATTTTTTAAACGCTCAATTTTTTTAATCTTTGTTACTACCCATAGCGCATGTCATTGGCGTCGGTTAAAAGGACCTAATTGTACAGTGTACATAAAAAGGAGGAACTGAGTTTTTGCAACAACATCAAATTTCTTTGCTTGCACCATGATGATATAAACCTTTGATATACATCAAACTAAGATGATTGAAAGATGGCATAGTTTGAAATATCAAAGGTCTGTGAACTCGGGTTGCAAAGATATAGGGATTAGAAAATTAGAGTTTGTGGCAAAGACTCAATAATAATAGCTTATGAAATATCAACTATTTACGAATGCGTCGAAAAATAATCGATGACTATTGTTTGTAATATCTGAATGATTTGTTTGGAATTAAATTGATTTGTTTACGATCCGAGTTTAATGTTGCATCTTTCTGAATTTGTATGGACACTACGTTCTTCGGTATTAGTCGTTTTTAACAATATTCTCCTTATAGACACAACAGATAGAAGTAAGATTAGTAGTAATCAAAAGCGCTTTTTTATCGCATTAAGCCTATACCCCCTTTTATTTTTCGCGAACACTCCCTTTAATGTTAAATTTTTATTTTTCATTTTTTATTTGTTTCCCTGAGAGAACATGACGTTCTGTTATAAGAACACCTGCACAGTACGGGTACACGCCACCATCTGGAAAATATTCTATTTTTAAAGAGAATTTTGAGGCAATTTCAAGTGAACTTGTATCAAAGAGATTCGCAATGGTTCCCTTTAAACCTTTAGTAAAGTGACTATAAAGAAGCTGTTTTAAAACTTCAAAGTTAAATAACTCTGTCAATTTTTCTGAACATGTACCAAAAATCCACAAAGCAAAAACGCTTTTACAGAGAAGTCTAAAAAGCATTTTTTAAAAATAAAACAATAAATATCTCCATCAGTTTTGGAAACAAAGGTTTAAAGTTGGATTTTGTGAATCAGTCATGTACTGTTTACTCAAGTAAATACAGGGATATTGAAAACATTCCCCTTGACAGATTTTTCACCACTTAATAAGTCTTCATGCTTATTGCATGTTATTCAGTTTTTGAATTGAGGTGTTATGGTTTCTAAAATTTTTGTTTCTGTATATTTATATGTCACAATCTAAAAACTAAATCTGCAGTATGCCCTTGGTTGGATTACACCCCCCCCCCCCCTCCACCTTAGTTGGGCCTATTATTAGAATCTTGTTCAAATTCTCGCTTAAAGGTTGGGAATATGACTCGACAGAATTCATACAAAGAAATAATCTAATCCTACAAAACTTGACTGTAGCCAGTCGTCTTTGATCTTTGAAATAATTTGCGGCATTATTCGTAAACCTAATTTTAGAAGTAAACTTCTAAAACTAATAATCACGAAACATCCCTAGTCTTGGCATTTCAAAAATGTGGTCTGCCTTTTTTGTGCTTTCAACCTCACCGGGGATATATAAAAGAGTTTCCCTCAGATTTCAACAATTTTGGTCTTAATTTGTAATAAATAAAAATCTGAACGAAATTCGTAATATCTCCGGTATAATATTGACAGCACAAAATATTGTCTCAAATAAATCAAAAGTTCAAAAACGACTTTTATGTCATTATCATGTTTTGTGTGACACCTTGTACAATATACACCCAGAGTACAAAGTACTTGCAGACATCTAACGGACCTAATTAAAGGGACAGTAAGCGTAATTTCAAGTGACCCTCCATGCAAATATGGCAATTGTCGGCGTCAAACCTGATAGAAATCCAACGTATGGACCCGCTACGTTATAGCAACATGGCGTATTTTCCAGGAGAACATTTTTTATAGTTTTAAAAATTAAATTATCAGTGTAAAGTAAATATAATTTTCATAAAATCCTTTTATTTAAATGGTAAAACGAAATTTTATAAAATCATATTAGCATTACTGGAGAACTTTTTTTATACTTTTAAGAATTTTTTCCAAACCTAAAATGTACGTATTAAACTATTTTGCTCCTTTAATGTCTAGGTTATGTTAAAAAAAAAAATAGAAATTATGATAATGATAATGATAAGCTACAATATTTTACAAAAACGTTTAATTTTTCAAAAGTATAAAAAAATGTTCTCCCGGAAAATACGCCATGTTGCTATACGTAGCGGGTCCATACGTTGGATTTCTATAAGGTTTGACGCCGCAATTGCCCTATTTACAACGATACCTTTATTTCTACTGACTCTAGATTTAAAGCGTTACACGTTCTATCCCCAAATGTGTGAAGCCATTTTTTTGGATTTTACATGAGGATAATTTCATCGTCATCTTTTCATTTTGTTTTAAAAAAGTTTAAATTCTCCAGGAACGTACGCGTGCTCCCCTCTGAGAGGGTGGGGCGGGCCCCCCGGCCTATGCGTGCTCCCCCTATAGGGGGCACCAATATAAAAAAAAATACTTTAAAATCTCACTTTTACCCTTAACTGAAAAGGTTTCATCAAAAAAAACTTTAATCAATACTGCCTTCAGTGTAAATATATCTTTGATATCATTATTCATAATTATTGAATATGTATTGTTTCTATGAAAATATAGATATTTTTTAAGAAACGTTTCCATCTATATTTTTCACACATTGAAGCATACACCACACTATATAGAGGAAGTGTCTGATGAGTTCACTTAAGAAAATTATATAAATAATTTATCAACAGTTATTATATGGAAGTGTGTAAATGATCGAATTGTTTACTTAGAAAAGAAAGGTATCAATATTTTTTTCAAAAAAGGGTTTTGAATGCTCTCGTACGCCTCTGAAATTCTCTTAACTTCCCATATTGTCTCTTCTGTTTAAATCAGCAAGTTATAAACACAGAGAACTACAAATGAAAAAAAAATCATTTTTTAGAAAGAAACAAATGTCCACTTGAAATTACATCCACAGCTCCTTTAAGAAGAGTTGACTCTTTACATTGTCTTTTTACGAATTGACATCTTTTTATATATGGAGGACTTAAAAAACGGGAATAGCGGTAATTTGCACAAAAAAAATTGCTTCTGGTTTGTTTAAAAACATTAAAAAAGACAAAAATAAAATTCAAAGCTGTTTTTCGAACATTAAAACATAAAATCAACAAAGCCAATTTTTTTGAAAAAATAAAATGTTTGTAAAAATGTACGGGAAAGTAAGTCTGATATGTTGAACATTTAGGAGACATGTTAATGTGCTCTCAGTAAAGAGTTGACCTAAATACCTGCAGTTATCCCTTTAACCTTTTTTGGCGGATTCTTGTTTTTTATATTTTATTTTTCTATGATTTTTTTTTATGAATTTTTGCAAAACAATTGAAAAAACGATTTCAAATCAACATTTTGTTAACTTGAATTTATTTTTTCAAACAAAAAAATAAAATATTTTGCGGATTTTTTTTTTTAATGTTCCAAAAATATTTTTGAAATTTTGTTGGTAAAATTTCAATGTTTTTAAACATAAAATCCGAAGAAAACACATTTTATCCGCAAACATTGTTATCCCATTTTTTTTACTCGCCCTATAGACGCATTTATGTCCGAAACTTGAAATACTGACCCTGCGCCCTGTCTCTAAGGTTAATGTGCTCAATAAGCACGTTCCATGGAGCCCTCTCTGCGCACGTAGATTGGCCTCCAGTGACTCGGAGATTAACATTAGAGGGACATGATTTTAAACTTCTTCCACAAACATCTAAAACAATTTAGAAAAGAGCAATTAAATTGCAAAACTGTTTTTAGTGAGTTCTAAGCCCTCGATTTAAAAAATTCGGGAAAATACGGCTCGGGTTTAAGCTGTCGCTGGACCTTATTTACGGCTTGAGCTTTCAGATTCAAGCTGGATCTTTTTTTCCACAGAGTTGAATTAAAAAAAAATAGTTTAATATTCTATTTGGTGGATTTTCATGTTTAGAATTTTATGAGAATAATACTCAATATTGAGCCTTATTCTCCACTAAAACCAACCAAGGTTGGTTTTATTTTCATTGGGCCTAACTCCTTAAGTCGAGCCGAAGATCTTGCAGCTATCAATCACGTGACACAAGCTATCGTAAGAATTGGGTCTTAAAGTCGGGTTTAAGGAATTACGACTTGAGCCGAAGTTTTTAAATCGCGGGCTGCAGGCTTTAGTGAGTTCTCAACTAAAATTCCTAGTGGATTTTTTTCAAACATTTTTCCAAAAATTAAACATCAAACTGCTCATGAACGAACCTATATTAACCATAAATAGGGACAGAATAACATATGTACGGTTCACTTATAACATAGAAAATTAACAAATTTTGAAAACAGACCATTTGTTTTGATCCGCTTTAGAAGGTTGTGTAGCTTGTATCGGATTTATTCCAGCAGCAACAGTTATAAAATCACAAATAAGAAAGACGACATTTTGTTCACTGTAAGTGTTTACCTTGAACCTGTTGAGATTGGGGTTTGGAGTTTTGAATGAATATTATTATTAACAGAATCAATATGTACATCGTCACTTCTCTGAAAGAAATAAAAAATGTATGTTCTAGCTTGGGAACCCAGCGTTGTTCAGATTACTCAAACAGTTATTCCCGGTTACCTGCGCTTGGTCTTAATTTCCTTAAGTTCCTCAATCAAAATTTCAGAAAAAAAACAGTCAATGGGTTTATGGATTATGATCGGACATACAATTATATACGGATTATAAACATTATGTTTACAGATGCAGATGCTCCAAAGGCGTTTAAGGAGGAGGGTGGGTTGGGGATATTGGGCCCAGCCATCACCGTAATGTATCAGTGAAATCTTTGGTTTCCAGTGTTAATTCAGGACCCAACGGGTGTTGAGATCTCCAAAGGCAGAAATGTTAAAGAGTATAGTTTAACAAAACTTCCGAGTTTTTTGGGGGGGAATATAAACAAAACATGTGTGTAGATTTACATTAAGAAAAAATAAATAGAAATATAATATGACACTAATCATGAAATTAATATTTCTTTAAAAAAATTGTGATATCTACAAAATTGGTAGGCCCCATTCAGGAGGTTAAGAACATTAAATTTTGATAATTTTGATAATTCACATAATTATGGTGACCAAAACATTTCATTGATTTTTTATGTGAAAGATGGATCCCATGGCAGGCGTCGACATCCAGCTTGTGTTTACTTTACCGCCGAGAGACAGTACACTGCATTACAAAAGATGCGTACACCTCTGAAATAACTTTCCTTGGATTATAACCTTGTTATATATACATCTCCCAACCTTAATCTAAAAATTACACCTTAAAACACGTTCATCTTCATCTTGCTAAAAATTCCTTGCACAGACGAAAATCCGGGAGTTAAATCCAAGAATCATGATTTGAGAAATTGAACCGTATATCCTGAACGAATCTATGACTCAACCATGGTGTGCAACATTTTATAATCTTCTCTTAAATCCTATTTTACACCGCTCACTGTAAAAAAAAAGGTCTAACGTACATTTGTTCTTCGTAACTTAACATCGAACTAACGAAATATATCCTTTCGAACATTTTGTTCAAAATTACGAACAGAATCTTAGGAATGTTTCACATGTTTGCAATCTCTCTGTTCGTAACTTAAAATCGAACTAACGAAATATATCCTTTTGAATATTTTGTTCAAAATTATAAACAGAATCTTAGGGATGTTTCACATGTTTGCTATCTCTCTCTGTTACTGACACAAACTATACCAAAAAAAATATTTTAAAAGTAGAAACAATCCCTTATCAGCTTTAAAATCTGTACAGCCTAGACTCCAAAAAATTAATACATGGTTGCAAAGAACCCCCAAAATTCCAATCAGACAATTCAAAGATTTTGATGAAATAACGATCTTACATCGGAAAATTTGTACTTCATGCCCAATACTTCTTCACTGTGCACTAGACAGAAAGAGAAGGTAACGATTATCCAGCTTTGAAACAAGTAACTTACTTGGTCACATATTATAAAGGAATTGAGTCTTTGCCGCAAACTCTGATTTTCCAATCACTATATCTTTGCAACCCAATGTCTTAGACCTTATTTATTTCAAACTAAGTATACTGTTAGATCAAATAATCTAAATTTGAAATATCGAAGGTTTACTCCATCAGGTTCTATAGACATAGGGATTTAAAAATTTAAGTATGTAACAAAAACCCAATTCCGTTAAAACATATTTGTTCTTATCGATAGCTCTTCAGTAAAAGGAGTTATGATTGAAAACCTATAATTACTATTTTCATATGCAATTTATGTACTTTAATTTTGACCAATTTTTATGCAATGCATACATATAGATCCTGTTGTTTAAAGATTAGGGTTAAAAAGATAGATAAATAGGTAGATAGATAGATAGATAGATAGATAGATAGATAGATAGAAGTCTAATTGTATTATCTTAAAGAGGGAAAAAATTGTAAGATTTTATTCAATAGTTTTCTTCAATTTTGATTTTTAAAACAAATATGAACCATTTGTAGATAGATA